CATTTTGGCCTTATACCATCCTCCCTGATTTCCTTTTTTGAACGTATCAGCCGTGACTCTCCCAGAGGTAGGGGTCTTATTTCTGATCTTTATCATCAATCTTTGACCTGTCTTTCTCATACACCCCCTTTATACAGGCAAAAATGGGAGGAGGATAGTGGTATCACATTTTCGGATGAGGATTGGGATTCCATGGTGAATAACATATGTAAGTGCTCTAGATCTCTTTCTGTTCGTGAGACGGCCCTTAAGGTTTTAACCAGATGGTATTACACCCCATCAAGACTACATGTACTGTTCCCACAAATGTCCCCCTTCTGTTTCCAGGGCTGTGGCCATACAGGAACTTTGGTTCATATATTTTGGGATTGCCCGACCATATCTTTGATTTGGTGCAAGATATCTGAGGTGGCTACCTCACTGGTGGGTACCCAGGTACGATTGTCTATGCAGACCTGTTTATTGGGGGCTCATATCCCGGGGGTCTCTGATGCCATTATGAGATTGATACATACTATATGTATTGCCACTTTATGGTCTATTGCCTTGCATTGGAAGTCCAATACTGTACCCTTGACCTCCGTTTTACACAGAATCAATACTGTAATGCTCATGGAACTCATTCATTATACCCTACTGGATAAGATGCACTTATTTGATAAAAAATGGGAGTCATGGAGGGATTATAGACATTTATTACATGATTAATTACATTCCCAGTGAAAGTTGAATGGCATATATTGTTGACAGATGTATCATTTAACCTAACTCATCGTTTACACATTTCATGTGCTCGCTATCTATTTTTTTTTCTATTCCATCTTCTTTCTTACGTTAATATACTTTTCTGTAATGTACTATTCAAAAGTGCCTTGTTTTTGCTGAAAGTTCTATTTGAAAATGTACTGTTGTTTGACAGTCTACTTTTATACAATAAAATCGTTTGTAAACAAAAAAAAATTAGCCACAGTGCTGCTCCATATACAAAGCCCTGTGTTGTTAGTAAACACAGGGCTCTGTACCGTGCTTTGCTAAGCTGATCAGCAGGTCCTGGCAATAAATCGGGACCTGCTGACCGACTTGTGCTGTACCAAATGACAGCACAGATGGGGCATCAGGTGGGAGTGCATGCTATAAATGCTGGATCATGTCCATGTATGTAGTCCAGCGCAGAGCAGCCAGCCACCCACAGTATATATACAGTGGGTGGTATGCAACTGGATAAATAGGCTGGGGCGCAGAACAGCAGTCACTTTCTCCTGGGGGATTAGGACCCAGCCTGACGACTGAGGCATCCCTGGGCTGCTGGCTACAGCACTGAAGAAATCCTTTTGGGGTCCCAGCTCCAATTAGAGCTCGTGGACCTCCATCCAGAGTGTCCTGAAGCAGTGCAGGAAGCTCTACAGGGGATTTAACTCATTTAAATTTAAAGTTCAAATTGACTTTATACATGCTAGATGTATTACCTTTGTTTCTTGGTAGTAATATACTCATATTCTAATATACTTAAATGGTTATTTCACCTTAAAAAAAAAACACTAAAGTCACTATACACCATTGCATAACCCCAAGCTAATCAAATTTTTTAAATATGCCGCTTGACAGCTAACATACCTGTAGGACATTTTTTCATTGACAGAAAGATGACGGAAAAACTGCAAGGGAGAGGCATAGCAGAGTAGAGGCATAGTTAAAAAAATGGGACTGGCTTAGGTTGATGCTATTGTGACTGAATATAGTGTTTTTTTTAAAGGTCAACAAACCCTCTAATATAAAGCTAAAATATGACTTGTATTAACCTCCCTAATGGTATTCCCGAGTGTAGCTCGGGGTAAAATGTCTATACCAAAAGCGGTAACCCCGAGCTACACTCGGGCTTACCATGCGGCGCTGCATAGGGAGTCCCTGCAGCACTTACCTTGTCCTTGGCTCCCGCGATGTGTCCCCTGCAGCGTCCCCGGCCATCTCCTCCGTCTGATGCCGGCATCCGGCTCCTGTGTTCCGGTCCCCGTGACATCGGGACGTACGGGCGCCGCCAGCGGCGGAAAATTTGAAAATTTAAAAAAAATGTCATTTTTTTTCAAAACGATTCTACATAGTAAAACATTGCTGTTTCAACCCATTTCACATACATTTTGTCCCTAGTGCTTTGTCCTGTCCCCTGTCTGCATTTTGATTGTTCTTTCTGCCTGGAAACGTAGAAAAGTCCATGGCGTCCAAAAAGTGTCCCTTTAGGTCAAAAGCGGGTTTAGATCAGCTAGAGAACAGCGATAGTAAATCAGAACCACTTGCAGAATTGAGTGATAATGATTCGTGGAGAAATTCGTCATCAGACACTGAAAACAATTTTGCGACTTTGCTCAGCGATGTGCGAACTTGGCGCTATATTTCAAATTTCAGTGTTTTTGGTTTGATTATATTATTGAATTAAATGTATGATTTAGAATCTTGTTCAGACAGATTTCAGTGAGTTATTCCTAAAAATTACAGCCTACAATAAAAAAAACTACATATTTCCATGCAAAATAATGGTACCGCTTTCAGCACCAAAAATCGGAAAGAATCATACCGCTAGGGAGGTTAAAGTGAAAGAGCATAGAAAATAATATGACTTGTTCCAAGTTAACAGTTGATGAGTGATCACAAGAGCCATTCTATTTCATGCTTCTGTACATCCTTTAGCTGCTTGGCTGTTGATAGTGGCAGTACGCTAGGCAGACCACCATAACCAGCCAAAGCAAATTATCCTGTCTGGGGTGGATACCAGAAGTTCAGGGGGTGATCTTGCCTTACACCTGTTACAGTTATGACAAGCCTGTCTGGCTTTAGGCCAGGTGTTACTTGATCCACGTTTGATTTGCCATGTATTCCTATGGAGGTTCTAACAGAGGGCAGGTGTCATTAGCAATAGTGTCATGTTACCCTTGTAGCATTCTCCACAGACATCCATGGCCAAAGTATTTGCTAGTGCTATTCCTGCTGTTTTTGTGTCATAGCCATTGACAGCAAGCTTACAGAAATATAGATACTATTATTACATAGATAATAAGGTTGAAAAAAGACATCAAGTTCATCCTTTCAACTCCTGCATTTCCGCTTTTGGCTCTTTTAGGAAGAACATTGTTGCCAATTTTGCCATAAAGGAGCAAAACTAATATCTTGATGACCCAACCCCCTCCCCCAAAGGTAGTGTGCTAAACCTATATTTGTCATGACTACCTCATTTGACAAAGCATTCAGTAGCTTAAGCAGTACATAAAGATTCCCTTTCTAAACTGATGGAAAAAAAAAATTATTTCTTCCATGACCAACTGATGGTTCTTGTTCTTTGTACAGGTTAAAAAATAAATTTTTAAATCTTTACACTGAATTCTTAAATCTTTACAGTGACTTTTTAAATGTTTACACTGACCACGGATATATTTAAACATGTTGATTAGATCACCTCTAAGGTGTTTTTTTCCCTAAACAGAACATACCATTTAAAAATCTTTAACTCTAATGAAACGTGCCTGCCACTGACCACTCTAAAACTCCTGTGTCCTTTTTACAATGTAGCGCTTAAAAATGGACTTTATATTCTAGAAATGGCCATACAAGAGATTACATGTAATTTGTTTAATCAGTTATAAGTGATTATACAATGCAAAAACAATATTAACATTACATGTTTTTATCTTCCTATTTTTATATCCAAAGATTGTATCTGCTGTTTCCCTACTTTGTAGACACTATAACTTTTGCACAAACCAATAATATACATTTATTGGAATTCTTGTTTTACCAAAGACATGTAGCAGAATACATTTTGGCCTAAATTTATGAATAAATTAGATTTTTGGATTTTTATGTAGGTTATGATTTATAACAGAAAGCAAAAAATTTACTTTTTCCCAAATTTCTGGTCATTTTACATTTATACAATATAATAAAAAGCCCAGTGGTAATTAAATACCATCAAAAGAAAGCTCTACTTGTGTGAAAAAAATGAAATAAATTTCATTTGGGTACAGTGTTGCATGACCGCACAATTGCCAGTTAAAATAGCAATAGCAAAAAATGATCTGGTCATGAATGGAGGTAAAACCTTCTGTAGGCCAACTTGTTAATTTGTTAATTTATTAACAACCTTTTGCAGTATATCACTGTCTTGCTGATTTTTTACTATTCTGTATACTCTTGTATCATTAGCAAAAAGGACATTATTGCTTTCTATTTTGTTCCCATAACATGAATGTTAAAAATAAGGGGGCCTAGCACCCATATATGTGGTATACAACTGTAAACTCTTGCTTACTTATGATATATTCTGTTAACGACTACCATTTGTTTTTTAACTGGTTTGTTGCGCAAGCAGAAATATTCTCTTCTAATCTTCAACTTCTATACAAGGCTAATTAGATGAACAGTTATATTACATAAATAGTACCACCAACATCCACCATTTAAACTTATATTTAATACATGCAATAATGTTTGCATTCAATTCTTCTTTGAAGGGTCAGTATACCCAAAGCTGATATTTAAGTTATTGGGTAGATGTGGGTTGGTTAAATACTGCTTTGGATTCTCCTATTTTTTTAAATTGCTGTCAATAAGAACTCTAATCCGCAGTTTTCATATCAAACCATCACCAACAACAAATGCAAAGAGTCTCCCATGCTATAATTAAAGGTTCATTTTTTAAAATTGAAAATTGCTCTATATTCACTGGCATTCTATGTGCTGCATCTGGGGTAGAAAGAATCTGTGAAGGAGGTAAAATAACCAGACAGTACAGTCAGGAAATCACACATCTGGTATCCTCAAGAAATATAAGAGGACATTGAGTGATTCCACCCATCAGCACCTGTTGGAAATATCAGTTTTGGTTGGGTAGCCTATAATTATGTTACTGTAACTTCTTACATGTTTAAATGTATTGTCCTTGGTCAAGGTATATTCATGGATTTCTTTTTATTATATTCACATGCTGCTATTTTGTTTTCTTTATACTTTAGGGCGGCTACTCCATTTGGTGGGTTTGAAAAAGCATCCAAGATGACTACATTCAAGATGCCAAAATTTGACCTGCCATCTATGAATGATTTCACATTTGATATGATACCAAACCCCATCAATTCAAGGAAATCCTTTAATAGAGCACCTCAAGGATGGACATCTCAACATCCCCATATTATAGTGTCCACTGACATCCTCTTCAACCCTGAAGTTCCAGAGTCTGATGATCTGTGAATAAAAATATTTATATCCATAAACTCTACTTAGAAAGCAATTTGTTGTTAAATGTTGTTACATTTATTTAACTCCCATTTATTTTCCTAGTTTTCTTTTTTTCAATCCCGTACAGAACAGGTGTTTTAACTGTAGTGTATGACCTGGACCTTAGCAGCAATATTCCTGAGCATTATCTAGGTGGATTTGTTTAGGGAAGGCATGAGATTAGGTTCCCATTTGCCTTGTGACCACACACTATTTCTTGCCTCTGCATCCATGTTGTGTTTCTTTAATGTTCATACTGGGAAAATGATTGTCATTAAAAATTGGCAGGGGTTGTGGCCAAGGAACAAAGTCATAGCTAGTCGTATGTTTGACCATTGTGATTATAGTGGAGACCATTCTGTGTGCAGGCCCTGGGGGTCATATTTCTAGGTGAAGAGCCTGCTCCTAGGATCATTTTTTTCTCTCCGTCTCACCTTTGTATTAAATCCATAGTTTCTACTGTAGGATATAGCACACTGTCAGCCTGTGCCTTTTAGCTTACAACTGGCAATCAGAAATGCACACTCAACAACACTTCCCTGCTGTGTTTTTGGAGTATCATAACACAAAAGGTGAAATTCTTTTGGACTGCCACTTGGAGCCAGATTTCATGATAGTAAAGCAGCTTCTTTTGTACCGTGTTGAGGAAAGACAAGGATGGAAATGGTGACCCAAAGGAGAAGCTGCTAACTGATGAGTTCATCTCTTTGTCATTCTGCTATCTCCTCCTATTAGCATGTTCCTTGTTAGTACATGAGTACTGCAGCACAACTGACTGGCTCATATAGGGGCTTCTTTGGTCAGTCCTGTACAAGGGATTGCAGTAGGCTGATACCATGTCATATTCAGGAGAAACAAATAATGACGTTAGAATTAATACACAGCTGCATTTATCTGAGTCTTTTATATCTGCCCGGTGTTCTGTTTTCATTTTGTACAGAATGCTTTGTCCTGCCTGACCCTGACTGAAAAGGCCTTTTAAGTATGCACTTATGCAGAACTACTCATAGTCAGGTATGCTGGTATTGTCATTATACTATAAGTACAACAGGAGCAAAAGGGATAATTTCCTTTTTAAAAAAATGCCCATTTTTTTGCAAGTAAAAAAATGTGCATTTACTTTTTTTTTAAGAGCTTGGAAAGCATTGCACCAGCAATCAGCAGATCACTGGTGCCATGCAGGACTCCTACAAAATGTCAGTGTATCTTTGTGCCCATACATTCCATACAGGCAAGCAGATACAGGAACACTCAATGAATTACCACAGTGCTCAACAGCACCATGATAGTTCACTGAGAATTACAAGCAGACAGCCACAAAGGTTGTCAAGACTTGTAGTTCAACAAACATCCACTATCTCCTACGCTCAAGGACTCAGACTAAAAGAAGATTATTTAATGAACAGTGTGTTCATCCAGTGCTGATCAAAGGTTGTGCAGCTCTATCATGAAGCTGGGGAAGCTTGATAAAACTGTAGAAAGGGATAAAAGAAAGAGTGCACCAACCTTGCGCATTACCTCAGTAAACAATTAATAATTTTATTAAAGAAATATACTCACAAGAGTAACGATAAAACAGACATAAAATAACCATAGTCCACACAGGGTTACAGGTCACATGCAAATTCCATCCAAAGGGGAGATAAAAGCTAACACGTTTCGAAGGGTGATCCCTTCTCATCAGATCAGATAAAAAAAAAAACTCAATTCGGCAGAGTTCCCATAGCTAGGAGGCATTCAGCCACTGAGTGTCAGTATTTCAGTCTGTTTAGGAACTGAGGTTTTTTTTTATCTGTTAAACCCAGCTCTGATGAAGAAGGGATCACACTTCGAAACGCATTAACTTTTATCTTGTGAGTATATTTCTTTAATAAAATTATTCATTGTTTACTGAGGTAATGCGCAAGGTGGGTGCGCTCCTTCTTTTATCCCTTCTAAAGACTTGTAGTTCATTCATTCACAGAACTTTAAGAAATGAATGACAGAGCCAAGTGGGTGGAGCCCTGCACAGATGCGCTGTTTTCAAAAAGTGACAGCTAGTACATGGAACTTCTCCCCATATTGCTGTCACTGGGGGGGGGGGGGATCAGGCAGCAGCTGCAGTTGTGGGAACATGTTACATGTTCCACCCTAAAAATGGGTGGAACATGTAACATGTTCCCAAAGGTGAACTTATCCTTTAAGCCCAGGAGGTCAGTGGTTGCAGCGTTTACCTGCTATTTCCCATTATTTACCAACTAAGTGCTCTTTATGTTCTCTAAATGAAAACAGCATCTCTCTTTTCATCACATCTGCTTGCTTTGCCTTCTATTTAAGCCTTTATCAAAATAGGTTGTGAAAAAAGTTAAAAGGGTGCCTTTAAAGCTGAAATCCAGGAATTCAGCTACTTTGTAAAATGTGCAGGCATACTATGAGTTAAGTTTAATGAGGTGCATGCTACCTCCTGGACTTAGGCCTTATCTCTTTAACTTCCTGCCCCACCCATATCAAAATGATGGCCGGGCAGAACTTTTGTGGATGTCATATGATGTCCTCCAAGAATGAGCCTCGCATGTGGCCACGCGGCCATGATTTTCCACCACCTGGACACAGCCAATGACAGATCGCTGTACCAGCCTGCTGCAGGTACCATGTGATCGCTGTGAACAGTTGTACACAATTAATGGCTTCGATTCATGCCATTCCATGTGTACAGTTGTGTTGCTAGCTGTGATTGGTAACAGTGATCACATGGTACAGACAGGGCCAATCACAGCAATCTGTACCATGTGATTAGCTGTGGTCAATCATATTCTGTGAATGGGGAGCAGAGGGGAGGAAAGGTCAGAGCAGTTGTGTGCGAGAACATAGGGTCTCTCCTCTCATAGCCCCAAAGTGTAACCTCCACAAAACTGTCAGATGTAGATAAACAAGATAAGTCCAGGAGGTAGCATGCAACGTCCTGGACTTAACTTATAGCAACTTGCTGACTGTCTAACTGGGAAAATACATCATGTTTTTGATGTTTATTACTGGCGTTATGGCTGCAGCTAGATGCTATAACCCCTTTTAATTTTTCCCTCCGGCACCGGTTTTTCTGTTAAAAGTGATCTGAGTGCAGGATTCATCACTGGATCACTTTTAGAAGTGGTGGGAGGGGTTGCCCCGTACCTCGCTGCTTTCCAGTGGTTCCCAGGTTTACCTGGCTGTCCAGTGCTGGTGGCTGTTGGTCACAGAAATGAGTGAAGGATAGATGGCCTCTTCTCATTTCTATGGCCTAGGAGGACTGCACTGCATCGACATTACGATTTGGAGATTTGGAGTCTTATAGACCCCAGATCTCTCCATAAAGATGACCTGTCATGCTGTATTGTTGCCGCAAGGGATGTTTATATTTCTTGAGATAGCAATAAAGGTGATAAAAAATAACATTTAAAGGAACAGTGTAAAAATAAAAAAGTTATAAAATAAATAAAAAATATTTTTTGCCCCGTCCCCCCATGTAGAGTGGAAGTTTGGGTAGAGATGAGTTCAGATGGTGCCTGAGCTCATTTCTAAATGGGGGATAAAAACAATAAAAACAAGCCTGTTGTTTTGTCTTGAATCTGCAAAAAACAGCTCTCCTTTAAGGAGACCTCTAAAATAATGCTAGAGACTAATTCCAAATTTTCCTAAATATTAGTTCACCTAAAGTATACTACAACTGGACAAAGTTTCACAACCCCATAGAAAACAGCAATGTGCAAGAACCAAAAAGGATATTGTGTTTAGATGCTTTGCTTAATAAGTCTGAAGAAATTATTATTTTGGTTGTTATGGATTAATGTATATAGTTTCTTTTTAAATAAAATTTAGTACATGTAGAAATAAGGATAACTTATGGCATGTAAAAAAGACATATAATGTTATTTAGCTGAAATAATGTATACATCTTAAATTGTGAATGTTAATATCCAGTACAAATAAAACGGTTCTATAAACACTAATAACACATCAAATGTGATATTATTATATGAATGCTGTAAATGGTTGATTAGATGCATGTTAACAGGAGGAGGGAGCAGAGTGAGTAGAACTTGTTTTGCTCCTATTTCATAGTCCATTCAGCAGCCAGCTGGCAGAACATTACATCACTGTGATTTTTAACTCCAACGGAGACAGAGTTGTCAAACTCATGGATGTGCTGTCTGGCAGAAGTGTGTGAATCACAAAACTGTCTGGAAATAGAAATTTACAAAGATATATGAATTCCTCTGCAGAAATTCACATGTTTATTCCAGTTTGGTAAATGAATTTCAAATGGCAGTTTACATGGAGCTTTAATGACATAAAACATATCCTTGCAAATGGAAGACATTACATTAGACATGTAAATGTATATACCAATAACTGTTACTTCCTCATTCTTTTCTGTGAATCATATTTCTATTTTAAATGAACATTGTTCTATTTATGCTCTGTGGGGATGATTAATGATTGTTCAAGCAAACATCCCCTCAGATATTTTTAACAAATATATATTAGTTCAAAATATATTTTTTGAGCTGAATCTGTGTGAAAAAAAAGTCTAGATGGAAAATCCACAAATACAGGCATACCTCGGTTTACCAATTTTATTTCGTTCTGCGGGACTTTTCATATTGCGAAAAATTGGTAAACCGAAATGCGGTTTCCCGTAGGAATGTATTGAAAACCAATTAATCCAATCCGGAGGTCAGAAAAAAGTAAAAAAAAGTTTTATCTGTTCAAAACTCTTTATAAAGTGCACTTTAAAGGCATAAAGGGACATGATTTTAAAAAAATCCTAAATGCATTGAAAACCAATTAATCCATTACCGAGGTCAGAATAAAGTCAAAAAAAGTTTTATCTGTTCAAAACTCTTTATAAAGTACACTTTAAAGGCATAGTACTGTACAGGGACATGATTAAAAAAAAAATTTGTAAATGCATTAAAAACTAATTAATCCGTTCATATTGTAAACCGAGCCATTAT